TCGCCACGCTGTAGTTGTCTTCTAATTGGACAACATTTTCTTTCAAAGGGAACGGGGCTGTTACGTAGCCATCTTCGAACAGAATTGTTTTGGAATAATGTTCTAAGTATTTGTGAGTTTTGTCATCGGTGTGACATTCCTCTTCTGTGATTCCTAGCCCTTCTAATTCGAACATTTTGCGGAGCATTATTTGCTCGCTTTGTTCATGAAGAGCTGTTGTCGCATGAAAGGAATTGCAGCAGATGCTCTCTCCTGCTAATGATCCTTTACCGTATATTGTCGGACCGAATATTGTCCGCGCAATATGAAGCCCGGAGGGTGTTTTGATGGCGTGGTTTTGACCAGATATGAGTTCGTGGTAGTAGTCAAGCCCAATAAGTATGTGAGGGGTTTGAAGTTCTCCCCGCAGATTCGAATTTGACAGGCAAATGTTGTTTTCTTTTAAGAAATCGATGTCGTTTTCTGTGAGCCTAACGCTTGGGAAACCATTGGTGAGTATCGGTTTCGTGAGCATCTTCATTTCTAGTTCATCTCCAAACACCGAGCTCACCTTTATTGTGACGACGTGGCTCTCGAAACTTTCTACGTGGCCACCTATGCCTGACATGGTGCAGACTTCTGTCCTTAAACTTGGGAGGCCAAACTGCTCTGCTATCTCTTCTTTTATGACGGATTTTTGTGCCCCAGAATCGAAGAAAAAGAGTACCTTCTCGTACGCTTGTTTAGTTATGTCCCGGGCCTATATGCCTCCAAGATATAATGCTCAGAACTACAGGAATACAACAATACTTTATTGGAGCAGGTATTGGGCACAATATAGCACGGTACAGTACGGTAGTCCGGTGGGGAGGCGTCGCCGGTCCGAGGCTGTTGGGCTCCGTTCGTCCTTGAATGACCTCCCTTGGCTCCTCCACGTCGTCGGACCGATGTTGTTCCTTCGCCGCCTGGTTTCTCCATCATTCCCTGAAAGCTTCTAAGTTAGCTGCGAATCGTCAGATGACTCACCCCTTGCCTTCCTTGACCGTTTACCGGGAAATACTGTAGATATACTGACTCTTACACCTCCCTCCCCCCTTTCACGAAAACGTCGGTCCTCGACGATAAGTCAAGGGCGGGTAGTCAGGGCAAGGAGCGAAAGAGCAAGCGTGTAATCGCGAAAACTTACTGCTGCTAGATGTAGTGTCAGACCTGGTTGCTCTGTAGCCGTGACCTGCCTGCCGAGGGTGGAGAACGTTCGCTGTAGGGGTCCAGTGCCGATCGCGTTCCTAAACAGAATAACCTTGTGAGTCCCTGATCGATCGGTGTAGTGCAGATTGGAAAAAAAGGAATAATAGATGTTATCTTGAGCTCCGTGTTTAATTGCTGCGGTAAAATCTGCCGTGTGATTAATGAGGTGACGGTGTTCCCTTTACGATAAGTGTCGTGATAATATGTACATGGCGATATCGTAGTCATAGTCATAGTCTGCCGGAGGTGATTACGTGTATGAGTCGGATCCGTGCATTGAACGAGGTGTTTACGCGAAAATGTCCGGGAGCGCTCAGTTTCGATCACGACGTCGTGGCTGTGCGCCCACTGTAGGATCAGGTTCGTGGAGAGTGCGAAGCGCCCGTACAGAGCCTAAAACAAATTGCCCGTGCTTGCAGCGGGTAATGGCCACGTTGATGCTCTTGATGTCGTTGAGGAAGTCGCCAGTGGAGGCGTCAATGTCGGTTCTAGTGGTTAGGACGATAGCGACGTCCATTTCGCGCCCCTGGACTGAGTCAGCGGTATGTAGGGCGACTCCGTGTTTGTTGGTAAACTCCCTGAGGCGAGAAAATTGTTCCTTGTAAAAAGTGATGACCCCTATAGCCGCTGCTGGAATGTCGCGGGAGAACAGGTCCAGGATGATGTCCACACAACACTGCGCTTCGTCGTCGTTGAAATGGGACCGAGTGTGAGATGTTCTCGATGTGCCCCGAATGTCTACGAACACGAAAGGCACCCGCGGGTTGGGAAGTAACAGGCGGCGGATCAGACGACTGCGCGCATGCGCTGGTGTCCCGTACACGAGTGCTCCTTCATAAAGTAGCATATTGGGGAGCTGGTTGAGGGCTGGGAGGGCTCGGAAAGTCGTCACCAACGGTGCTAGTGGAATCTCCCTGCTCAGTAGTAAATCCATCGTTTCTCGACCGGCCATACGTGCTGCCAGGGTGGTGCGCGGGCAGCGTAGGTGCGGCTGAAGTTGTTGAACATCACCGATACAAATATGGTGCGCTGATCTGAAGCGGGTGACGATGGCGAGGAATACTGGCTCGGGTATTTGGGATGCTTCGTCGGCGATGATGGTACGACAGTGCCAGAACGCCTCGTAAAAGAGTCCTTACGGCGTGTTGAGTTGAGCAGCGACGACGTTGTTATACAGAGGAACGATGGAAACTGGAGTCGGAGTAGTATAGCTATCGCACGTTCTGTGGTCTCGGAATACATAATCTCCGCGATTCTGTATTTCTCCCTGTCCTCTTCCGATAAGTTGACCGTCTGTCTCGGGTGGAAAAGCATCGTTTCGATGAGTCGACGTGCCCGAGTGTAGCGTCGAAGGCGGCGGTGTTTCTGAGGTGTCAAGGAATCGGAATACCTGGCTTCTAGCCCATGAAGAACCGTATGCAAGTCGACAGGCGTTACGGTGCGCCCTCCTGCAATGACGTGTCGGCTACGAATCGTAGGATGGAGAGGTGCCGGATGTCGTCCAACTTGAGGAGGGTATCAGTAAACTGGGCTACTGCCACATTCGTAGTTGCTGTCGCAATCACCAACTGTCCCGGAGCGGCTAGGCGGGCTGCGAGCAGCGCGCCCACGACTGTCTTCCCAGTCCCGAAAGCTGCCTGAATCGCCAATAGTGGGTGTCGTGATTCGCCAATTGTCACCGCTCGTGCTTGGTCGTCCCGAAGTTGGACTCGGTGAGAGTCGAGGGATGCGGAGATGTTCGACGGCGGTGGTGGACGGATGTTGCGCATATCCCGTGGTCGACCGGCGTATAGAGAGTCCAAGATGGTGCGAGTTGGGCTCGAAAGTGGGGTGTCCCTGTGCGGAAACAAGTTTTCGCTCGCCAGCAACTCAAACACGGGGTCCGTTCCCGTCTCCGCGCTAGTCAAACGAATGCAGATGCGAACTTTGGCGGTGTTCCTTTCGGTGTTGATGTGACCGAATTTCGATATGGCGGCCAGCAGAACGGGGTGCGATCGAGAATCAGCGTGGAGCTCGGCCTCGAGAGTCATGTCGTCGAAATTGTATCGAACCTCAGTAATGCGTGCGCGGGACATTGTAGAGGAGTTGGTTACCCAGAGGACAACAGGTCAGGCCCGTGCCCATCCTCCATCTGACGCCATTGCTTCCAATCGAATTTCCAGACGTATCGGGAAGGCACTCATGCTCGGTACAAAGGCGTTTACTGCGTGAGCACGTTTATCATCCATAATAAACGCCTGTGACGCTAATGCCGCACTGGCTACGGAGGACATTTGCCCCATGCGTTCGCGAGCCTCTGCAGGATCCCGGATATAGTTGTTAAAGTCCGTCAACCGTTCGTCGATCCAAGCACGATCTTGTGGTGGTAGCCGCGACACTCGGAGAGGGATGATGGCCTCGCTGGGGTAGGCCGGCAGGAAACGTCGGATTGCAGTTGTTAACACCCGCTGCGCATCCACTAATATCGCTGCATGCGAGAAGCGCATGGCACAGGACACATTGGTTCGTGCATCGGCGAGAAGGAGGTCTTCGCGTTCCACTTGGCTTAGCGGAAAGGAGCAGAGGGTCGGAGTGAGACGCAGGGAATCGGCACATTCTTTAAAAGCAGCGTAGATATGATTGACTGAATTGCCACGACGTTTGACTGCGAGTACGATCCCCAAGATGTTCCTTTGTGACGGAGTCGGAGTGGCTAGTATGAATTCGTGGACTCGGAACTAGAAAGGGTTAAATACATCCATGGCCGATGGCCGATTCGTGCTCGACGGAGAACTTGTGTGGGGTCGTTGTGCTGCAGGGCCTGTGCCGTCGGACGCAGAGACAGGACCCACACAAAGTCCTTGACCGAAACCTGGGTTCTGTCGAAACTGCGGGTCTGCGACAGGAAATTGACCGAATCCTGAGTCCAAGGCAGACAATGGAGGTCACGATGATCCGGACCCGGAATAAAGAAGTCCTAGGATGACGCCGGAACCATAGTTTCGATTGACCACCTGGTAGAGTACCGGGCGCACTCCATCTCCGATGACTGGCGGTAAGAGACGAGTGGGCGGTGTGCCCGGAGGCGTCGTCGGTAGACGAGCGATTGTAGAAGAGTCGTCGACGTAGCGATGCTCGATCAAGTCGTCGACTAGCTGCTGTGCCCTTTGGCGGAAGGCGATGATGTCGGGCGGACGTGGGATCTCCACAATGGGTAGTGGATTTGTGGTAGAAGGAGAACCAACGAAGCGTCGAGGAAACAACGAGCGCAAAAGGATCCGCCGAAGTAGCCATTCGGGGGTATATGTCGATAAACGTGAAGTAGCAGGAGGCCCGTGACCGTCTCTTCGGAAAGTGGAGGCAGATCAGGGTGTGGCTGAACGTGGACTCCCCAAGGATGCAGATGAGAAAAGGCATTGTGATAGTTGTCAGGTGTTGACTGGAATTTTGGCGAATACGCTGGATGAGACTGGAGGCCGAGGACACTTGCTGCCACGCGAGCGACGAGGCCGATGGAGCGTTATCTGGAGAAGGGGATTTCCGAAAAGAAGATCGCTCACGGTATTTGGAAAAGGCATCGTGACTGGACTCACCTGGCCGACGCGCTGGCAACGAAGCGACTGGTGCCGCTGGTTGATGTACGGTCGATCCGGATGTAGATGGGTTGAGTGATAGGTTTTGCACTTCCGCAGATGGTACTGTAACAAAAGGAGGAGTGTGCGAAGGGCTAAGAGAGGCCAAAGAGCCCTGGAGCGTACCTGACGAGATTTTGTGTATCGCGACTGCTACCGCTGCTAAGCGTTGCTGGGGCGCCGGACTGATGCGATGAAGACGCTCCAGCGGAGCTCGATGGATCCTGCGGCGATGGCATTGCCCACTGCAGGAGACGAAGTGGCCGTCGGGTCTGTCGGAGCTGGTTCACACATTTCAGTCGATTTGCTAGAAGTCGACATAATGTCAACCTATCTGAAACAAGGAGGTATGAATCTGGGAAGCATTGTGCCTAGGCGAGCGATTAACGATTGATATGCGACGAGACCGAGAAGAGCCATGGTGTGATTCAATGATGGAGAGAACGAGTCCGGAAGCAAGGGCTAGACATCATCTGTGTTTACGTAAAATCGTACATAAAATAACGACGAATATCGGAGAAGACGACCGCTACATCGACGAGAGGCGACTCCTGAAACGTGTGTTATAAGAATGCGTATTTAAAGATTGTTGAGTAGGGGTAAATTGTTGAGGAGAGAGAGGAATGCTTATATCCTAAGACTTTTACAGATGTAGCTCCGGCGGCGTCTAGTAGATGTTCTATTTCTGGTTGCCAAGGTGTTGTAAAGACGGGGCTTGAAGGCGTGAAGCACCGTTTGACCTGGTTCATGTGCACGCGCTTAGGCGGAATCTGAGGAGTTGTTATGCTGGCGATGGTAAGGTGGGGAGGGTCCACAGCCAGCACTCGGAACTGTCCCAACCATGGGTAGCATAGCTTGGGCGACAAACCCACCTTGAGCGAAAAGTCGCGAAGAAATACTATGTCGCCAACCCTAATCTCTAATGGTGGAAGGCCCTTCCAATCGTGGTGGCGTTTCATGAGCTCGCTTTGCTTCCGATTAAATGCTGAGGCGGTGGTCCAGCAGGCATGAAGTGTTTTTACCAGCGATTCCTAATAAACAGTGCTGTCTTCGTCTGATGGGATGTGGCACCGAAGGCTATGTTTAATAAGCAAGTCTATGTTGAGAACGGCATCACGCCCGAACATGAGGAAGAACGGTGATTCATTGGTTGAGCTGTGCGCTGAGGTGTTGTAGGCCAACGTGCAAGCGGACAAGAAAAGGTCCCAATCTGTTTGATCCTGGTTAATATAAGTGCGCAGCATCTCCTGGAAGGTTGCGAACATGCGCTCGCATGCGCCGTTGCCCTCATGATGGTAAGGGGTAGTATAATAGCGGCCAATTTGCAGAAGTCTACCTAATTCGCTAAGCAATTCGTCTTTCAGGTATCAGGCATTATCAGACACCAATGTAGTCATGGCGCCGAAGACGAGTATGCAATGGGTTAAGATCACGTGGGCGACTGTAACGGCTGTGCAGTCGGGTAGAGCCGCTGTGATTACAAATTTGCTAAAATGGTCGACAAGGCAGAGGATGTATTCGTTGCCCCGTGAAGAGTGGAGATAGGGTCCGCTGAGATCCAAGTATACCTTGTCGAAGATTGCTCCGGCGTGAATAGGGATCAAGGCCTCTCTCGAGAGAGGGTGAGGTTTCTTACGCTGGCATACTTCGCATGAGCGGACATACTTGAAGATATCCTCACGCATCGTTGGCCAGAAGAACCGACGCGAAACTTTAGCCAACGTCTTCTTCCAATTAAAGTGTCCTCCCGCTGTAGGACTGTCGTGAAGAGCCAGACAGATGGGTTCTCGTAAAGACTGCGGGAGGAAAACGACTGCGCGACCACGTGGGTTGACGTGATTATCGGGGCGCGGGGGGCCCTACATAGTAAAGGCATCCGTTCGGTCGGATAGTGCAGAGGTCGATCCATCGGCAGGAATCTTCGCGAATATCCGAAGACGCGTCCGGTGGGAAAGATCCCGTCGTGTCCAAGAAATGCATGATGGTACTGCATAAGGGGTCCTGTTTCTGGGCTAAGAGGGCATCGTAAGGGCGGATGTATAATGGAGGTGACAAGGTTGCCGGTGTAGATGTACTCGATCGCGGTCGAAGCGTCCGTTGAACGAGGCACCGGGAAACTCGATGATGTCGCCAGTGGCAGGCGTTCCGTCGACGAACCAATTATCCGGGGAAGTATGTCGACTCAGATGGTCCGCCACGACGTTAGATGACCCTTTGTGATATTCTATGGTGATGTTGAAGCTTTGCAGTTCAACAACCCAGCGGGCGAGATTGTCGTGGGGTTTGCGGTGTCGTAGCAGGAAGGTAAGTGGCTGATGATCACACAATACTCGTGTGTGGTTGCCGTGTTTGGTGGGTCGAAAAAAACGAGGGGCGCTGATCATGGCGAACAACTCGATGTGGGTGGGACTCCATTTCTATTGAGACGGTGACAAAGTCTTGCTGAAGTGCCCTATGGCCACTGGGGGCAAACTGGGGTCGTGAATCTGTAGGAGTGCCGCACCCACCGCTACCTTGCTACCGTCTGTATGGAGAATGGATTCCTTATCCTGGGGGAAGGCCAGGCAAGGTCGGCTTATTAATGCTTCTTTTAAGAGAGTGAAGGCCGCTGCTTCAGCCTCGCCCCCATCGAAAGTCGACGCCGTTCTTGCACAGGGCCTAGAGAGGCGCCGCTATGGAGGCGAAGCCCTTAATAAATTTTCGAAAGAAGTTGGCTAATCCTAAGAAGCCTTTAACGGCCTTGACGGTGGTGGGGGCTGGCAAATCCCGAATGGCTTGAAGATTGCGCTCCGCGGGTGCGTAGGTCGCGCCTGAAATCTCGCGTCCCAGGAAGGTGATCTTAGACTGGGCAATGCTTGTTAACTTCTTGCCGGAGACCTTGATATTGAAAATAGGAAGCGTCCTAACACTTTCCGTAGGGATGATAAATGCGCGTCAAAATCGCCGTCGAAGACGATTATGTCATTGAGGTAGGCCAAGCAGTTGTTGTCAAGCCCTGCGAGAATCCGGGACATCGCTCTGCAAAAGTAGGCACCCGCATCACGAAGCCCAAACGGCAAATAAACGAATTGGTATATGCCTCGTGGGTTACCCATCCGCATTTGGCTTGGCTTTCAGGAGAGAGCAAGAGTTGCATGTATCCAGAAGCCAAGTCAAAAGAGGTATAGTATCTTTTACCAGCAACCCGTTCCAACAGGTTCTCAATCCGGGGTAGCGGGTAACGGTCGGGAACGGTAATGTCGTTAAGCGGGCGGAAGTCTAAACAAACTCGCAGTGATCCATCTTTCTTTTTGACCAAGGCCGTGTCGTGGAGCCAAGGGGTGTCGCTCTCGACTATCCGACCAGCTGCCAAAAGTTTGTTGATGTGGTCGTCGAGCTCCTTCTGGAAGCGGGCGGGAATACGGGTAGGCCTATATCGAGAGGGTGGTATCTCCGACGTGGTCTTTATAGTTATTTGAGTGTGGTCGTAGGAGCCCAGGTCGTAGAATGACGTAGATATGCGATCTTGGAATTATGTAAAAAGGTCGTACAGTTGATGACGTTGTTCGGTGGTAACGTCGGCGTGTGATAACTCCATAGTCCACGGAGTAGCTGGTGGTGACGGCTCCGGCTCCCCGATGGGCAAACAAAAGGTGCTAAAAATGCTGGTGAAGCTTGAGTACTGTACCACTGGGAAGCTCCAGAACCGGTCGCGCCGACGTGAGACGTCTGTTTTTGTAGATAATTTTGGGAGTGTCAGTAGGGTTGCTCAGCAGCAAGCGGGTCTGGTTAGTCTTTGTGACCGCTGGAGCGATCATAATGTCGTCCTCGGTTAGGACGGATCCTTCCGTCAGTACTGTTGAGACTCGGGATCCAGCTTGGACCACCTTGCATGGCACAAAAATTTTGGATGCCGGGGGTAGAACCACCGTAGAAGCTGCGCGGACTACAAGTGATTTAGGAGTCGAGGAGCTGTTGGGAACTGCGCCCTCCGAACCCGCGGTAAGAATGGGGACAGGCTCGTCTCCCACGAGGAAGATCCGTTGCTCCTAGCTCAGGAGCCAACTGGGAAGTCGCTGCAAAAAGTCATTACCTAGTATTACGTTGTAAGCATATGCAGCGCGCGGAACGCAGTCTGCCTCAGTGAAATGGACTTTGTGGTCGATGAGGTGTCTGCCGACCTGAATAGATACCACCGTAGCGCCCACGAATTTCACCGGGATTCCCGCCATGCCTACTGCTGTTGGAACCGTACAGGGACCTAGGTGGAACACTCCTAGAAGCGGGAGCAGGGACTGACTCGCTATGGTGACCCCAGCGCCGGTATCCACACGACCCAGCATGTGCACGCCGTTGACGCGGATGGGGATCTGTGTAACAAAGAAGGGTCGATAACTGGTTACTGACAAGACCAAACCGGAAATTATCGAGGCGCGGGGTGGCCAGTTATTTGCCGTATCAATTTCAATTTGAGATATATCGAGCTCGAACGGACGTGGGGTGTGTGATGTCACCGCCGAGTTGACAGCCGGGGGAAGCGCAAGTGCGCACGGGGGTTGGGCTATGGGTGGGGCGTAGCTAAAGAAGCGTTCATGCCAGGATGGAGCGTACAGACGAAGATAGAGGACAACAAGGGATTTCGCAAATGATACTATAACCAAAAAACCGCAAAAGGAAATCCAATAATGGAAAAGGACCAAAACGAGAAGAAAGATGGTTAGATGGTAACGGACTCGCGGTAGCTGCCGAACGGTCAGGTTCTGCTGATAATACCACGTGCTCAAAATATTCGACTAGACTTGAATGATCGCGTGCCGCCCATAGTTCTTGAAGTTGCCTACCGCCTGAGGTTTCGCTAAAATTTGTTAGTACTAAATTGTAGAATATTGTGATAGGAGGATCCAGCGTGAAAGAAAACTGTAGAGAGAATTATGAAAGAGTTGAAACTGTACCTAGAGCTAAGGGTGTCCAGGAACCATCGAGTGGGGAGAACCTATGGAAGCCGGCCGCTGAATGGAAAACAAAAGGCGAAACCTCGGAGCAGCTGATAATGTTCGCACTTCTCTACACTATCCGTGTTACCGGGTCAAAGAACGTCCGAAGTAAAGAGCCATTTGGAAGGCGGACTTCAATGCGTGGTAAAGCGTAGCACGTCCCGTTGAAAGGAACCAGTTCCACTGAGGACAGCTCTACGCACCGCTGAACCTGCACGTATCCGTCGCCCATATAGGAAGCTGAGATATCGTCCCTTCCAAGAAGTGCACGCATTGTAATCGTCGTTTGAGTGAGTAGTGCGACGTGTAAGGCTGTCGCCTGGACGTTGGTACGGTCACATAACACCTGCAACGCGTTGCGGAAAAGAGAGCTCACTGAGGAGTATGTGGCACCTTCAACCGCTAGGAGTTGGGCCGCCAGCTGATTAGAAGTTACTAAGCCCACGTTGGCGTTACGGGTTTGCCTTCGTGAGGGCGCTATGGCATACCCTTGATCCGTTACGGTGAGTTGTTTCGCGCAGTCGTCGATTACGAGAGACTGATTGGACCACGACAAGGCGAACTCCTTGTCCTCGCTGATCCATAGATGGCCAAGCCTGTGGCCGGATAGGCGGGAGACGAGGATGTATGCGCATTCTTCGTTTACGTCCGGAGACCAAATAAGCAAGGATCCGTCGGCCAAGGTGCATGATCCATCTTTATAGGAACACGCTGACAAGTCACCGACAGGCGACTGAGGTACGGGGTCTGTATGGCGGATATGGACGATGGTGTTAAACATGCAGCAGTTTGTTTCCTCTCTAACATGCTCCACACAACAACCGAAAAGAGCGGAAGGGTAAGAAAAATTTATCGGATGTTGAGTGCGCCATACGTCGGAATTGGCCGCCCATTCACCGTGAACACAGCGATGGTGCAAAGTCATTCGCCTGCACTCACCCTCTGGAACGGCTGAACTTGTTTCCTGATGGGATTCCTTCCGAACCCTGAAGAAGTTGACGGAATACCTCACTGTGTGTCGGATGATCTTGCAAGGAGCCGCGGGCGTAGCATACAGTTTAGTGTTAGGGCGGTAGAGGTGGAGGGACAGCTTATACGCCGACACTGAATTGTTCGGCAAGAGGGCCGAACAGTTGTAAAGTTGCTGTGGAACGAGAAAGGTAGTAGGATGATCGGGAGGACACAGCCACGCTCCCATAGCCGAACCTGGGCTCACTACAGGCAGAGTGTAACAGCCGTGAAGAGCAAGAGGCGAACGTCGGGAAGAGGTGAACCGGAAACTCGAGCTTGCGGTGACGTTGTTTGATCCATGGATGATTGATCCAGCTCATCATTCCGCCGCAAGAGCGCCTCTATGCGGGCTTGAGAATTGCGGAGCTATCGTTGCGTGTCCTCGAGAGATGCCGATAGTTGGGCGACCTTGCCCAAGGGTTCGGTCGGGAGGGTCACACCGAACGAGACAGTTATCCGATGCGTGAGCCGTGGAGCGTGAAGCCAGCGACAACATGTTGGGGCTGGAAAGCGACGAGAGCTACTGAATCTTCGCGTAGCCGGAGTAAGCGGCACAGGGGGTCGTAGAGATAAAGCTCCCCGTGGTGAGGGGCAGACCGATGCGGCATGTCCTAGGCCGTTGCAATTGAAAGAGCGTTGCCCAGACCCAGGGCGAGCATTTCCTGTAGAGGATCGTTGGTATTGTCTGACTGGAGCGGCAGGAACCGTGGAACGGGAGCGGGGAGATCCGCGTGGTGGCACCCCTTGGGGTAACGAGTTTCTGTTACGTACCTGGCCTGACCCCTGGCCACCTCGGGATAAAATTTGTATGGCGGCGAGGGACATGGTGGGGTGCAAGAGACGTTCCGCCGCGGCCTCGCTGAGTAGCTGCTCGGTTTGGGCTTTTGTCACGACCTGTTCAAAGGTGGTGGGATTCTCTAATTTAACGAAATAGCGCACATTCTCCCACAGACGCGCGACAAACTCCTCAAGAACCCTTTCCTTTTGAGTTGCTAGGTCTTGCCCCGAAGTCGCCGCCCGGACTCGGTTCAGAACCCTGTTGGCGAAGGCCGTACACGACTCGCCCGACTCCTGGCGGCAGCCGGATAACCTCTGGCCGGCCACGTAACGTTGCTGAGGGCTTTCAAAAAAAGGAACGTAGATGGGAGACTACGGTTCCGTAGGCTTTCCGTGCGCCGCCGTCCAGCCCCTCTTCCTCTTTTCGCGAGCTACGCCTTCTAGGTGCCCGATCAGAAAATTAGCTTGCTGCCCGTCGATGAGGGTCGTGGGTCGCATACGCATAATATCTTCGAAACGGCGTAGCCATATCGAGAATTGGGCCCCATCCTCGTTGTATCCCGTGAAAGGAGAAATACGGGATCCCTGAGAATCCGGCTGAAATATTGCCACCAGAGGAAGGTTGTCGAGGCGCTTGCCCACAGCCACGAAGGATTCATTGAGTTGTTCAGTAGGTGCCGTGTTGCCTTCGTTGATCCTTTTAGACAGCAGAGCCGCTGTGGCGCGCGAGTCATGCCACACCTGGGTAATCACGGAAGAAGTGGCTTCGCGTAAGGTCCTGACATCGCGTCCAAACAGGGGGGTATCGTCCTGAAGGTCGGCGAAAGCTGGCATCACCGACGGAACGAAGGACTCCATCTCCGAAGGCTTAATATCAGAAAGCTGGGTCCAGGACCCCGAGAGAGACGATTGAGACTTGGCGAGACTACGGGTGATAGGCATATAGAGACAGGATAGGGAAAGGGGGTGCCCGAGGGATTTATATGTCGAGGCCCATGGGAACGAAGTGAGAGGGGGGGTGGGGTTATTGAGAAATGTAAGAATGCGGTTTTAAACAAAAAATAAAGGATGGGGATAAGCCGTCAATGAGAATTTCCCAAGAAGGTCCCTAAGGAATGTTGGAAACAATGTTGCATTTATTCCGCCGAGCGGAGATAGCGTCGGTTTCAAAACATTACAGCGCCAAGCTCGGTAGCTGTAATCGCTTGGGAACAAGCCGCGCCGAAGCGGGAGGCACGGCCTGCGTGGGTGAGAGTGTCTTGGTCTCGGCGATCGCGTGAAGGCATATCTCATCAACAAGTATGCCTTTACCGATATTTTCAGCATGGAAACACAGTCGTTTCGAGATGACAGGATGGTGAATGCTGGAAAACCAAGCAGAAGGAACACTGAAGGCGAAAAATAAGAGAGTTATGCCGGTGAACCACTACGGACCCCATTCCGTCTCAACTGGTCTCACATTGCGAATTTTAACCCCCGAGATGCTGCCTTGCATGTTTTCTCGTAAGCTCGGGAATTGACACGGATAGACGGTCCCTTAAATCAGAATCGGACGGTCCGATGTCTACTGAGACATCGGGCCGTCCGATTCTGACATCGCTTCCATGTCCATGACTCAAATCGTTAGTGCGATGATAGAAAGAAATGAAGTGCGATGATAGAAAGAAATGAAGAGCTCAAAGATCCGGTCATGGGCAAGTACATCAATGCTCTAGTGTCTAAACTGCCGCAAACAATTGCCGATGCCGTGGAGGCGGACAAACGAGGT